CAGACTTGTCAATGGTATGTAAAAATGTCAGGATTCCGAGGTTATTTAAGTGAGGTATTGTTGTCTTTCTTTTCATCCGAACACTTCAGACTGCAGCCATCTTCCTGGGGCTACAGATTCTCAGTTACAGACAAAGAGAGGGCAAAGGAGACTTTGGGGTGTGTTTGTACATCATTCTTCAGTGGAATAACTGAGATGGGCATGCAGCCCTGCGACAATAAATTCATTTTAATTACTTCTTCTGTAAAAATAATTTCTGTGCAGGTGTGTGTGCTTTGTGCTTGACAGATTTTGCTGAGCATTTTTTGTCTCAGTGTTTGATTTTCAGAGCACACCCATCTCAAATCTCAGTGAGACTTTAAGGAAGGGGCACGTTAGAGGTGTGGTAAATTTAAAAAAGTATTCATTTTTGACATTGTTGAAACCTTTCGATCCTTTTGATCACGTTTTAAGTGTCTCTTAAATTGTTATTCGAATAACTTGAATCGGATTAAAGTTAGCAACAGAAAAATTATTTCTCTGTGTTGTTCATTTTTCAGGAGGCTAGTTAGAAAAGCATTTTCCTTTCATTCGAGATTGATAAAAGCTGAGTGTTAGTGAAGAAGTTGTATTGTAAAGTTATATTTGGATCTGAAATTTTAATCACATCAGTAAAAACATAGTAAGAAAATATATCACAATTATTTAAATTCCTATTGACCTCTTTAAACTGTTTACTGTGTACTCCTAATTCTTGTTTCAATTATAGATTGAAATAGAAAAAAAAAGAAATAAGAAATATTTGGCAGCATCACAGATTTGTCAAGGAATTATTCACATTCATACACTCTTTCATTTTGGTTGAATAAATAGTTTTGTAAACCAAATTTTTTTCTCCAAGAATAATCATAAAGTGCCTGTCCAAAACTGACATTGTAAATGTCCTCAGAAATTCAACCCAGATAATAATCTTATGTACAATAGCATATTTTAAGGATAATAGATCTCATTTGTTGTCTATTTAAATTGTTTCTATAGATTTAAATAGCTTATAAATGTTAAATATGGTAGATTTTCACTGCTGAAACTGCGAATGAAAAAGCTTCAAATCCTCGCTTATTTGTCATAGTTACTAAATATATCAAATTATGGCAAATTGTGGCTTTCAGTTTTCAAAGAAAGAATTGGTATTTTTAGTGTCATGAGTCTGTACTGTCCTGTTCACTGAAATATTATCTTTAGACTACTCTGTTATTGCACATAACATCTGATTCCTTCTTGCAGTCGTGGAGAAAGAAGACCTTTTGCAGGGTTGGCAATAATGTCTCGCTGTAATAATAACATCAGGAGCATGAATTTCTGTTTTGAGTGATTATAATACTGTACATTATTCCACCCACTATATTTGACATTGTTGTAAAACACTAGAGATCAATGGCACTCCGAAGCTCTGATAAATGTTTTGTGCTGCCATGTTTGAGATTGCACCGTTTTTAACAATGGGGCTGTTTCGGCGTACTCTTCTTTATGAAAATCATAGTTACCTACACAGCTTCTTTACATTTTTCCCCATTACTTGTTCATAACTTTAAATCCATGTCGTAAATTAGCAGGATAATATCCTCATTAAGAAAATGTGTTTGACTTGTAAGAGCAATCCTGTGATTAATTTTAATGCACATTTTTTTCCCCCCAGTGCATGCTGCAGGCAGCTATTCTTCCTTTGCCAGCGGTGAGTGATGAATGCAAGGCGAATGACTCGCTCTGTATTGTTTCAGGCACCTGAATGGACAGAAGAGGACCTCAGTCAGCTGACAAGAAGTATGGTTAAGTTCCCAGGGGGGACCCCAGGTCGATGGGAAAAGATTGCTCACGAATTGGGTCGATCGGTGGCAGATGTGAGTTCACTTGGATTTGCATTGTATAATGAGGACAGGACAGGCAGTGCCGGGGAGAAGCAGTAGGCCAGGGTGTTAAACTCTCCCTCGATATGTAGGACTCAAAGATTGGGATAAAGAAGGGGATTCAGGCCTAACAGGACAGGGAAGGAAGCTATTAATTAACTAAACTAGAAGCAGATGTGGGAGAGAGTCCCCAGCTTTGGCAATTAACAGCTGTAACTGATCATGTGCAAAGAGGACTGAATGACAGGGGAGAGTTACCCTGTAATTCAATCATGGTGAGACTGTACCACAGCCTGATCAGCGCACGGGAAGGGAGAATTCCCCCCTCACCCCACACCCCCGTTGCAGTGCAGGGGTTACAATAGAGAAAGGTAATTCTTTCTTTTTGGAACAGACAGCGCTAACTTCTGTAGTGGAACCTCCACTAAATAAAATCGAATCACTTTAAATTGATCGAATGGTGTAATCACCGATTAGAAGACCTAGTTCAACAAATAAAACTAATTCAGCATTGTTTTTTTTTTTGTCGAGTGGTGATGAGTGTCTAAAATTAGACGAAAGCAATTTATTGCTCCACAGACTGATGCACGTCATCACCTTAACGTATTTTTGCATCGGTTGTGTCAATCTGTGGTAGTTCAACACGCTTTAAGAAGTTTTCATTTTAGTGCAAAGCTCCATTTATCTTTTCAAGTCGATTTTTGATGTGCATGACCCCTTTGCGACGCAGTTTGTCATTTTCGTCAGTACACGGCTAAATACCAGTTCCCCGCTGGTGCGCGGCAGCGCTGATTTCCTGCCTGACCCTGAATCCAGCCCCAGGACTCGCCGGATGAATTGGGCAATCCCAGGTGCGCGCCTGGGCTGCTCTGAAGGAGATGTACCGAGTGTGTCAGTTTACTGCAATGGAAGTTCCTGCCAGCTGACCTGGTTACCTGCACCCACGCTCTCTGGCCCACTGCCCACATCTGCTGCCTGACCTCTGTGCACAGTTCCCCCCACACCGCCCCCCCCCCGTAGCTCCAGGCCCTCCTCCTCCCCGCCCTGCTCTGCGGCTGAAGCCCACGGAGCCCTACTGACAAGCATCTGACCTGCTGCTTTTTCTCAGGAAATGGGAGACGTGCATTGAAGCCGTCTAGGGGCACCAAGTCTCTCTGCTGTCTTTTTATACTGCTGCTCAGGCGTGGAGTCACACAGACTGACACTCTAACCTAATTAGGCTGTCGGTGTATGACAAGCCCCATTTAGCCTGGTGGGATGCCAATGAGAAGTTGTTTTGACTTTGCAGATTGCAATAATTATTCAAGGAGCAAAAAAGTAACAAACATGATGCGTACATGCGTGTGGTGTTAAAATTACCATATCCGCATCCAATAGCTGTATTGACAGCGAAATGATGGAAAATCAGGAATCCTATGGGGCTGCTGAGAAGGGACTGTTTACTTAGGCATCTCCAGGAGCTCACCTCTCTCTGGTTCCTATTCTTAACAGTCATTCTTAAAACAATGCATTCTAATTGTGAATGTATGATACTGTATGTATGTCAGGGTCCTTTCAGTGAGTGGGCCTGTTATAGTTCACTGTTAGGGTTACACTTGCAATTGTGTATAGTTTCCATTATTCTAGTTTTGTCTGGACAAATGTATGTTATACAGTACCTTCCATATATGTGTATGCTGGTGTGTGTACAGGGCAACAGGTAAGACTCTCATTTCTGTGTACTCATTTCAGTTTTCTGAGCTACAGGCTCAAATAGAAAAAAAATAGAAATATTATATTTTACAGGATATTCACTTTCTCGACACGTCTCTGCTAGAGATAGCTTGGCACTGGCTTCTTTTTGTATATATGTAGATGTAAGTGGCTTAATATAGGTCTAATGATGCTTTCCAATCTCATTTGATAAGGAACGGTTGATGATTTGTTAACTCTTTTCTCCATAAGATGTCAAATGCAAGCTGCACCTTGACAGTATTGTTCTGTCTCTCACTATAAAATATATAGAGTATTTTACCAAGCAGAAAAAAAAGTGTTGTTAGCAGCCAGGCTAGAATGTAACACAATTATTAACTGCAGTTCTGCTAAATTAAAAACAGGCTTGGATTACTTGCTTGTAAAATAATCTCATCCATGTGAAGGAGAGGGTGTAAACTGATTCCCTTTCGCTCTGTGCCGGCTAATCCCTTGTGCGCAGGCCCTGGGAGCAGACAGAGGTGCTGTCTGCCGTCTGAGTGGCTAGGAGTCCAGGCAGAGAGCGAGACAACAGGCAGGTGGAGAGGGCAGGGCGGGCTTTTTTTAATTAGTGGGTTATAAGAAAGATAGGGCTTTCCCCTCCTGTCTCCGGATAACAGACAAGGAAATAATTAACAGGTTTCCACTCTTGTGGACTGACCCATCCTTGCTTGGAACTAAATAATCAGTCTGTGATGCCCAGGCTCCTGATTGACGTAAGGCCCCTGATGTCTGTCTCACAGCAACCAGAAGCCTCAGTCAGTGACAGTCTAAGAAACCGAACAAAAACAAAACCTCCTGAAGGTATAAACATGAATGTTTGCCCGATTGACTTATTTTCCAGTCCCGAAATACATATTAACTCTGGAAGAAGGTACACAATTACCTTTTAATTTTTCAAGTCGTACCTAAAAAGTACATTTTAATGTTTTTTTTAAATACCTGAATATGATATACCTGAACATGATGTGTGTTGGAAGTGATAATCAAATTTACGTGAACAGTATGTCACCTCTGGTATTTTTATTGACCAAGCTAGTCCACTAATGTATAAAAGAAATCAAATATATTATCTGAGTGAAGAATTTCCTGACAAAAGTAAGGAAGTCCGTGGAGTCAGTGTAATTATGGAAGTATACAGTATTTTGAGCAGGAAACACCTTTTGGTGGGGAAATCACAGGGAAGTTGTATCATCCGGCCTTTTCTATAATGGTAGTGAAAGGATAATATCTGAGGCATGACTAAAGCCATGAAAAAGAGTGGTTATTTTAAAGTTTAATGAAATGCAGAACAATATTTTTTTTTTCCATTCAGCAAAATATTCAGTACATTTGATTCACTATATACTGCAAATTGACCATTTAAGGTGTGAATCTGTAAAATGGCAACAGATGACAGATCAAATAACATCCTGACTTAAAGTGATCAGAGATAATGATTCATGATCTGGCCATTACATCTCTTTTTTCGGCCGTTTTTTCAGTAAGCGATAACGAAACTGAAATTTGTAGGACATAAACAAAGACCAGTTATTTTAGATTTGTGTCCCTGGACACCATTGATTGAGCTTAATGGTTAAGTTCCAGTCAAGACTCAAGGTCTGGCTGTAGAGTTGAATTTTCCTGTGATGTGAAATAACCTTGTTAGAAACATGGCTTAAATCAATTCTTATTGAGTTTTGTTTCTGTGCCTTTTGCAGAACAGCTGGTTTTAGAGCATCAGATTATGCTGACAAAATTTCAGTTATTGAAGAGTGCCATTTCTGAAGCTGAGGGATTTTATAAGTTTGGTAATTTATGTAAAATCATAACAGAGCCCTTAACCTTTTAGAGCTGCATTGTCTATGTGTATTTATGTACCTGTCTAGAATTATTTGCCAACGCACAACTGCTAAAACAATGGGGTGTCACCTGAGATAATCTTACAATAGTAATGACATTGTCATCACCATCACCAGGCTGCAGGAATGAGAATTCCCTGAATCTCGGCAGAGAATCCTGTCTCATGTGGTGATATGCCTCACTTGGTATGTGAGGTTCACTGACATTTGTTTAAGTGTGACGGATACAATTCTGCTCTGTCACTGCTGTGCTTCTCACAGACACAGAGCATTCACAGCACTACTTCCTAGACAGTACAATATCTGCCAGGCCAAAAGACTGGGTCTTCTGCGGTGGGAAAACTCTTAAGCTGTCTAGGTTTCAAGGAGGTGACCCCACTTCTACAACATGCTCAGTGTTGCTGAACCTGGGTAGATAAATGCATCAAGTGGCACCATTTGGATGCCAGTATTGCAAAGATGTGGAGGCCCATTAATATCAAGAGCAGGCTCTGTTGATGGGGAATTTCACAGCACAGCGATAAGATCATTTTCAGCTTTACACTCTTGCCATTGTTAACAACCACGCCAACCTCAACATGGTCCATTTGCACATTGGGTTTGAATTACCAGTGCTCACCTGATGTGGATCGGTTATGTTGGGCTTCACGTCTTTAATTCAGTATGTAACCACATTTTGAACTTTTCTTCTCAGAAACGTGTTTGACGTCACAGACAAAACTTCCATAATCCCATGAATTGGTTATGTTGCATCTGGGGTCTGTGTAGCTATACAAAATATGTATGATCCACAATATATTTAAAGGCTGCTGTTCAAATTAAGTGACTATGTTTGAAACGGATGTCTTGTTGCATTTCTTCCAGGTAACTTCGAAAGTCAAACAAGTAAAGGACTGTGTTACCAACACATCAGGTATGAAGCTTGAAGATCCATAGGGGTGCGAGAAATTACAGCACACTTCAGTGAAGAAACAGATGGACCCTTCAGGACAGCACAGCAGAAACCTGCTCCAAACAGTCATTTTCCTTTTATAATCCAAGTACAGCCCTGGCCAACCTCCTATGACACACTTAATGTCAACACAAAGACAAGAACAGAACATACATTCCATCACAGAATGTAAAGGGGCATACATGGTATAGGAATATTGTGAGAACCAGAAAAGGAATGTGTATTTTAATGTCCAGCTGTCCGAGAATATCACAAAGTCAGCTAAACAGAGTCAAACAGGTCTTCCTGCCTTAATTCTACAATGTCATGAAATATTTTCCACACCTGTTCATGTTTCTGTTTTTGCTGTATGTATATTACTTATTACTATTTAATTATGCCTTTGCACACCTTGGTCTTCAAAACTTTGTTTCTGGTGCTCATGTTCAGTAAGCGTGAAAGCCGACTTGCGTCTTCCCAGGGCTGGTGAAGTTTTCCGATCTGAAGAACACTGCTCAGCCGCCGAGGGGGCCGAAAGGGGTTGGCGTGGGCTTGTCAGACAGTATCATCACCCGTCGTGAGGAGGAGGAGCCCGATCCCCCGCCTCAGGAGCCCGAGGAGTCGGCGGCCGCGGAGAACAGGCCTCGCCGGAGGCGGGCCGGCAAGGCCGCCGACAGACCCGGGGCCGCGAGAGAGGAGAGCGAGGAGAAGCCGAAGGGGAGGCGACAGAGGGACTTCGATAACTCGGCGCTGGACGACGACAGCGGCGACGACAGGAGAGCCAAAGACAAGAGCCCGATGGAGGAGATCTGGACCCAGAATCAGCAGAAACTGCTGGAGTTGGCCCTGCAGCAGTACCCCAGGGGCACAGCCGAACGGTGGGACAAGATTGCCAAAGTTGTACCTGGCAAGACAAAGGTAACTACATTCTGTCTCTTCAACAGACTGTGACTCAAGTCAGTGAACACAGCGAACAAATCGGTGTGGTGTTTATACATCCTATCAGAACACACATAATCAAATCCCGGGGCAGGAGAGAGGATCTGTGGAGTAGCAGGCTTTGCTGATAGATATATGAAGGTGTAGCTCTTGTCTTTGCCACCTTTAGTCCAAGAAGCCACAGCTGGAAGTGGCCAACACTCATACAGTCTGATTTCCAGATACATTCCAGAAACAATCATAAGATTGATAAGAAATTTATACTTAATTTTGGAGTCTGTAGGCATCATTGTGTCACTTTCCTGCTGTTTATTGGTATATTAAGCTTTTGCTGCATTGTTTTCTAAAATATGACTGTGTGTGAGATGATAAAATACTACTGATATCCCGTGATATGTTATGAATGTAAAACCTTAGGCAGAAGTGTTAGTACCACCCCCTAACTTGCGGTGTGCATATATATAGTGATATGTCCAGCTATTTTGAATTTGCTGTTTGTTACAACGACAATTTGGAGCATAATGTATGCAAGTCAAGGCTCATATGTATGAGTCTTTATTTTATTTACAGTGGTGGTAAAAGTTGATGTATAATGAGAATTTTCTAGTGGTGCATTTTTAAAATAAGTACAGAAATGCCACATGCCATAAAACACAGCCAATGGGGGAAGAGCTCAGATTCAGTGGCTCTTGTCCTTGGGGGTCTCCTGGGTAACGAGTAGAGAACAGATGAGAGACTCCAGACACACATTCCACACAGCCCCACAAAGGTTGAAAGAAAAAAATCCTGTGCCAGCAAAGGTCACGGTGGTCGAAAAAGGCTCACGGCAATCCATAAGGACTAAAATGCAAGACTTACCTGCATGAGAAAACACACATCTGCGTGAGCCTACTGTTCACTGTAGAAAATAAATGGACACATATTAGTCAGGAAGAGTAAATATGAAACCGCCTTCCTTCATTTCCATCATACAATCTAAAAATGGTGCCAAACAAACGCCAATGCAAAAAAATAATTAAAAAAGTAGGCTAAAGAGGGAAAAAAAAGATAGAGAAGCAAAGATGTGCTACGTAAGAGGCACCTCCACAGTCGTGTTAACTGACTGCTTAGCTGTCAGAAGGCAGAGAGAAACGGGGCAAGCTCAACATTTTTTTCTTTTTGCAGGAAGAATGCATGATTCGATACAAGCTTCTGGCAGAACTGGTTCAGAAGAGGAAACAAGTGAAGAGCTGACTTGATCACATTACAGTGCAGTGGACTTCTAAGTGTCAACATGAACCTTTTAATTACCTCACATTTTTATGTCATGTGCCTTAGTTAGAGTGAATAAAGGTGGTCAGATGTCTTCAAAATCACAAAATATAAGACTGCCTTTTCCTTTCAGAAGCCTACTGCGCTTTTACGTAAGCTTTTTTTTTTCCCCTTTCCACATTGCGGGAAATGCTCCGTCTGCATCCTTGAATATATTTAGTTAGTACCCAGGAAAGTTTTATTCTAATTCATCAGCTTTCAGTATTTGGTCTTGACCCCGAAGTTAAATTATTTCTATGCAAGAAGTGGTCTGAAAAGAAATTCTCATGAGCATGTTAGGGGATTTGTAAAATAAAGACAATGGTTTCCAGAAACTTAAGAATGAAAAAAGTGTGTGTTATGCGGTATGTCATGCTTTTTGCAATAAGAAAATGTTGTTAGTACTGTTTACAATCAGCTTGGGCAGATCACAAAAACTTTTTATTTTTATTTTGAATTGATCCTTCTCATCTTTTGCCGGTCGTAATCTTTTATCAAAGATGTTTGGGCAAGAGGAGTCTTACTACATGGTTTCCATTATTTAAACTTTGAAAAATTACAGTATATGTGACAAATAATACCGATAAGGACAAGAAATGCAGTGTTCAGAGAATTAGTTGGATATGCTGTTTGTTAAATGGGCTGGCGGCCATATAAGCCGTTTTAAACATTTAAAATTCACAAGTTCACATGCCACTGTGCCTAGATCTTCCCAGATTCTCAAAACAACCCTCACCCTCAGTGCAGGCTGTATGTTTGAGAAGGAAGTCTCCAGCAGACTACCTCATGTAACAAGAGCTTAAGACTAGCAAGGCCTACACCAGAATTCAAGATTGTGTGATTTATTGGGTGTTTATTTTTTTTTTCCTCTTTGAGAACTGAGGCATTAAAGAGCTAGAAAATCAGATCTTAGACCATGCTGCCACATCACAACTGACCTCACACTGTACTAAAGGGTCTGTCTCAAGGAGGTTTGACATGACTCAGCATAGATAGAGCACTCTTTTGACAACTGATGACCCAGCACATCTTGTCTGGGACCTGCTACTGTAGGAACACCACAATTTCTATAATGCACCTAACACCACCTGCATAGTGAGGATGTGGAAGCACCCAATGGTAGGCTAGGATCTGTAATGGAATTTTTAGCAATATTTTGGTAGATGTCATAATTTGTTTTAATCATCAAGCATTGACAAATAATATTTCCATAATGCTCAATTTCCCTACTGCTTATAATTCATCAAATGCTCAGAATTTGGAATAGACACTCAAATTTGAGAACTTATTTTCTGAGCTGTGAAGTGTAAGCCATAATGAACAGAAGTATTTTTAGCTGTCTAAAATCAATTTTTAGTTATCAGCTTTGGTGAGGTATTAAACATGATTGCATAAAAATTGTTCAGTTTTGTTTGCAGTCCTTTTCCAAACCTTCGACTATACCATATTTGTAACATATATTGGTTCCAAAATTCTCAATTATCAGGAGAGAGAGCGTGCACCCAAGATATGCACTATTGTACAGACCAAACCAGGTATGAGCAATATGGTGTAAGCTTAAGTGTGGAGCTGTAACTAAAAAGATGGGCTTGTTAAGTATTTGATGCTTTAAAACCATTTTAAGCGAGGCGACAATGGCAGTTATCTTTTCTCTATGAACATCAGACAAACATGGTTATGCACAGATGTAAAAATCAAATGTTTAGAGAACTAGCCAGATGATTCCTTCAGCCAGCCCTCCCACTGTCCGAACACTATTTTTTGTAGGGAAAAATTATCTAAGCAATTCCATAAATCGTATAAACAGATGTCATCGGTACTACATTCATCACTCCAGCTGCAGTAATAGATTTGCAAACTTACCAGCTTAAAAAAAAAAACGCGGTCTTGTAAATCGACCTTTGTGTAGTCAAACCTTATCTTCCCGTGACAAAAAACACGGCCAAGGCAGCATTCTTTACACGGAGAAATTAATTACTGTTCAAATGCCTGTGTCGTTAAGATGAATGGAACTGAAACCTGCTTTTGGCTGGTCCTGTTTTTTTCCACGCCAGTTTCTGCAAACGCCCCCCCCCACTACTGTGCCTGCTCAGCCTCTGCCACTACGAGAGGGGTCGACGTGGTGCCACACTGGGCATCTCCACCCTGGGTCGCAGTCCAAGGTCTCTGGTCTTGAGCACACATCACTTATCTGCTACCGAGATTCTGCCCAGTGGACAAGGTCCTGGCGCCACTGGTTTGAGCGAGCCAGTGATAACTGCAACAGGAAACAAATGGTATTCAAGAGCTCTGGGGAGTAAGTGCAGCAAGGATAAGAGATACGAATGAATTCTGTAAAAAAAAAAAACAGAATAGGGAACAGAATGAGGGGCTCGGGAGAGGGCATTGTGTCTCATTTCACAATCTTCGTCCCCTTCACAACTCAAAATCATAGCAAAAACTTGAATGTACTTTGTTCCAAAAGGGGGCTTAAATATTATTTAAACAATTTTAATAACATCCACAACATAGTTTTGTCCAAATTCCACAGAGGGCATTTTCTCCAGGATGGGAACAGTGAATACCTGTTCATGCTGCAAAGGACTAAGTAAAGGTTTATTCCATGCTGAAAAGAGAAGAAAGGTGCCACAGCCAAAACATTGCGTTTCTTTTCTTCTTACTGCGTGGAATAAACATTCATGTGGTCCTTTGCTACCTGTTCACACTGTTGATTTTTGCCATGCTGGCTGGTTTCCAAACACTAAAAATGCACTTATTTTGTAACAGACATACCTACATTAGGGGAGACCATGTTTTTTGTTTGGACACAATGAAGAAATAAAACTTGATAAAGAAAAATACGGGATCTACACGTTTTTCTACCAAGAAAAACCTTTTGATCGGGAACGTGTTACATGATACAGAGTGGAATTCCTTAAGATTTATAGACATTCATTTGTTCCACCGAATATTTAAATGCTTTTTTATATTATGTTGCTGTTGTTGGTAATAAAAGTGCTAAAGCTAACATTTCTTGATTTCAAAGTGAATATAATATCTAGGCACTGTGGCAAATGGATTTTTGACGCCAACAGGTATAATATTTCACTTGCAAAATACATCCCTTTGAGTATTTGGATCAAAAGTATTCTGCTTCATCATGTGGCTAATATGCTTGATCTAGTTGCAGCACTGTCACAATCCTTCCAGTACTGATGGACACTATACATACACTGCTAGTATGTAGCACTGGAAACACAGGCCGAGTCTTTTGAAAAGCTACATCTAAGCATATTACTGTATGTCATACTGAATTAAGAACTACGAAGGATTTGTATCACGGTGGCAATGATGACACAATGTCATTATATGTGTTTGATGGACATGGTGACAAAAGAATGGGAAATCCCAAATACAACAAATCTACAAATCTTTTGGCAGGCTGGCTAGAACTGCGTTTATTTCTAGTCACAATCTAGTTTATTTCTAATTACCAATTGAAAAACGCTCTTGTTCATTTTCAGCCTGGTCTCAATGTTTGGTTTTAAAATAACGTATCCACAGCTAAATCTTCCTTGATAGATCCACTGTTGGGTCGACAACTGGGATTCTCTCTAATGGTTCGGGTTTTGTACCACGTGAAAACTGAAAAGGGCATAAGTCACCTCTATTTGGGAATAACAGGGCACACTTCAGCACAAGCTCATGCTTTGGGTTTTGCAGAATATACAGAATTGGTAGGGTTATACAGAATTACTTACTCAACAAGGGTAGTTCATCCAAACAATTGGACTGCAAAAAACAAGCTTTAGGCTTTCTTCTGTCATTGCAATCTGTAGCCCAAAGCAAGTAGTGATGAGAGACTGAACTGTCATCAAAGGAGATTAACCTTTGTACATATGGCAGCTTAACAGAAGGTCTTGAATTGTACTGAACTGCCAAAGTGGATGAAAGCTACACAATGCAAAATCTGTTAGGTGGGCATTTCCTGAGGAAATTATAATTAAGTTAATTAGAAAACTAATCAAGCCATTCACATAATTGTTGCAGTCATGCTGAAGAGTAAACTCTTTGATGACAAAGAAATTCCCCCTTCATGCCAATTAATGAAACACTTTAAGAAAATGAGAAAAACATACCGCAATACTTTAAAACATTTACTAAAGTATATACACAGCACCATTTGTTTTTCAAGTACGAAGAGAAGGGATTTACAACAAGGGACAGAGGTAGAAGGACTTTATAATCACACAGTTAAATAGACAAAACATGTTTTTAATTTATAAATTTGGAACAACTGCTTAACACTACATAATTTCAATATTTAACAAAGGGTTCTCACTACAAACGCAATATAAATCAACAGCATTTACAAAGAGCTTTTTTAAAAAAACGTTTTGGTGTTTTTAGTGAAATATAAACCCTTGAGAATTTTCAAATGCTGTACAAAAATCGATATACAACTGAGAATCTATGGGCTAAAAGTAATACAAAACAACGCACACTATTTTGATTCCAGAAAAAATGGTGCCACAGCTTCTAAAATTTCCCTGCATATATAAAAATAAATTAATACTTTGTGTCCAGTCATTGCTCACATAGCTGATAGAAATATTTTAAAGCAAAAATTGAGGTTGCATTTAGACCTCTTCACAACACCAATGAGAATCACATACACTTATATACAGAAACGAGGTAAAACTGTGCAATTCAAACCTTTTAAGGTTTTATCCATAACCCAAAATGTTTCCTTAGCTCTGTACACAGTGGGGAAAAAAATATTTACAGTGATATAGTTTAAGGGACTTCTCAAGGTTACGATTTGTAACTTTAAGTAGTTTTTGTTTCCACCTAGGAAATATATTTTGTCATTATTAGAAATTTGCTAAATGTATGGTACAAGATAACCCAAGCTTTACATTTGTTTGAACACAACTGTACAGTAGTAGAAAAGACCCTTTGCTTCTCAAGAACGAATAGGTCAGACAAAATGTGGTCTTGCACTTGTTTTACAAAACGTTAATAAATTATAAAGCAAAAATTGTTTTCTTCAATATTCAGAAATGCAGTAACATTGTAAAAGATTCAACAGACTCATTCTCAGAGGGTTTTAGTCTATGGACAGAGGCAAAGTAAATATCAACCTGGTTATGATTTCTCATATCGCCTGAGTATATTCAGAGTGATTGATATGAATTCATTACTGGCTGCTGGTATAGTGGAACATTGCTATGACAGGAATTGCGACTGAGTGCAGGCTAAAATATCCAGAGCCCCTGAGCTATTCTGTGAACAATGGACTTAGCAACAGGCACTTGGGCTGAGATTCGATAGCTTCCACTACTCTCAAAGGAACACTCCCTAACAATAGTAAATCCATCTTTTCTACTTTTGTTTACTAGCAGCTACCCCAACTCTTTAGAAACCTACAGAACCTAAGGCCATAAAGAGTGATCCTTTAAAAGCCACGGAGCATGTATCCACTCCAAGCTCTTAGGCTACCGCCTGTTTAGAACCCTGTAAACTGAAAATCTATACAACCGACTTTGCCCAGTCTTGAGTCTCCAAAGCACATACGTTTACAGGCTAGCATGGAGTAAAGTACAACGCCCCACATCTGACCACCGCATAACCATCCTGAATTATTCACTTGGAGAAGCCCAGTAGAGGGGCAACGTCTAAGTAACGAGGAGGAAAGAGACAGCAGATTGATTAACCTTATTTTGTAACTGAAGAAAACAAAGCTGCAAGAAGCGCACCGTCGGGAATACTGGGATTGCGCCTCCGAGTGACTTCGCAACCAACAACGCAAACAGATGCAAACCAACAATTTCCAGAGTCGTCGGAAGGGAATTCTGAGGTGGAGCCAGCACAACAGAAGCCTGTTGACTGGACAGCAGACGCGGGCAATGTTTAAATGGAAAAATTTCTCAAGACTTCTCTCTCCGAGTTAAACCACTGAATACAAGGCCTGAATGGATGTAGTCAGTGTTCCATCGAACCACCTTTTTATTTTGACTTTTACATTGTAAACAACAATGTATTCTTATTGTTTCACCCGGTGGTGAAAATAAAGCCTTTCCCCCCTCCTTTAAGGAGGTTTATACTTTAATTTTACATGGAAATCAATCTGTAAGTCATCTCTTTCCCAATACAATTCTCCTACCTTTTCACACGTGTCTCTGATCCACGGTCCCTAGTGAGTCAGATACATGACGTTGCACAGTACTCACATCTATTTTTTCACTACTTGTTCTTTAAGCAAAGGTAAAGCCTTTGAACCATCATACCTTAGAAAGAGTGGCAAAGTAAAAGCACCAGTTGACACAGTTCAGGACTCTCACACGCACATGTCAAACACTATAACAAGCACTAATTATGTCAAAGACCCATCACAGTTCCATATTAAATACTAGCTGAGGAAAAGCTATCCAGTTCCTTGAGAGAAAAAAAATGAACTGATCTATTTAAAAACATGTTTTGTAGATATTCTCTTTGCAGTCCCTGAAGTATTTAAAATGATTAATTCCAATTTAGTGCAAGAAAGCAACATCTGAGTTTTACGTCCATTGACTTTAAGGAATGGTACATAAAGCCAGGTAACTTTTTCTTCTCTTTCAAGAACTGCATCTAGTTTTCTTCAGATATTTCATTCCATGTTGAGAGATAGGCTGATGAAATGCTATCCTATTGCAAGTACAGTGAAATCCTCCATCAACTCTTCTCCTGTACAACGGGTCCAGTTTTTTCTGTTAGTCGCTGAAAAAGAAAAAGGCAAACACTTGAGTTATGTTCTCTGTGGGCGCTAGGTCTTGGGAAAAAGAGTTTTAAAACATGAATCAGGATGATCAATCACAGATATCGTGCAATCCCATGTAATTAAGATTAAAAATTATTAAAAATGTGCTGGTTTACATGCGAGATACATTCTGAAAATGGCTCACACTGTACATACTGTAGTAATGAGATTCATAAAAATGAATCCCAGACTCCTGACATGTCAATCCTGAGATCACCCAGGATGCACCCATTCTCACCCTAAGCACAACATTAAATATAAAAAAGCCCTGTAATCCAATTAATTATCCTGCAAAACAGCTTGGATTCCCTACGATGTACAATAGGCTTTTGACATCTGCGAATTCAACATTTGCAAATTCACTTATTTGCGATGCGGTCTGGCCAACAGACTCATGGATGGAAGAAGAGCAGAGCGGGATGAATCCAAGCCCAAGATTAACTGCAACTTTCAAATCAGCGACGCAACAGGCAAGACAAATCTCGCTAGTGAGTGATCCTTTCCCTGCTCCCCGCCCAAGCCCGCACGGCTCTTGTTCTTGTACAGTGACAAACACTCCTGGTTTGGCGTCAGAAGCCCACGGCTCTTGTTCTTGCACAGTGACAAACACTCCTGGTTTGGTGTCAGAAGCCCACGGCTCTTCTTCTTGTACAGTGATAAACACTCCTGGTTTGGTGTCAGAAGCCCACGGCTCTTGTTCTTGTACAGTGATAAACACTCCTGGTTTGGTGTCAGAAGCCCACGGCTCTTGTTCTTGTACAGTGACAAACACTTCTATTTCAGTGTCAGAAGCCCACGGCTCTTGTTCTTGTACAGTGACAAACACTCCCGTTTCGGTGCCAGAAGCCCACGGCTCTTGTTCTTGTACAGTGACAAACACTCCCGGTTCGGTGTCAGAAGCCCACGGCTCTTGTTCTTGCACAGTAACAAACACTCCCGGTTC